CTAGGGACGCCATGCCCATGATGATTCTCTTCAAATCACTTGTTCTTTATAGGCTGGAATACTACTGTACACTAATGGACCTCTTCAATGCTGGCGTCATTGCAGACCTGGAGAGTGTACAAAAACTTTTCACGGCACACATAAGTACGATTAAGCACCTAAATTACTGGGAACGGTTGAAGGTCTTTGATCTGAATTCCCTGGAACGCCGGCGACAGAGATACATAATGATATACACTTGGAAGGTCCTGGAGGGATTGGTACCAAACCTGCACACGAAAATCACTCTCTATGAAAGCAAAAGACTCGGCAGGAGATGCAACATTCCCTCAATGAAAAGCAGGGGTGCCACGAATACATTGAGAGACAACACAGTAAGTATCTAGGACCCAAGACTGTTCAACTGCCTCCCAGCATACATAAGAGGGATTACCAATAGACCCCTGGCTTTCTTCAAGAAGGCACTGGACAGGCACCTAAAGTCAGTACCCGACCAACCGAGCTGTGGTTCATGCATCAGTTTGCGTGCGGCCAGCAGTAACAGCCTCATTGATCAGACCCTGATCCCCATGAGGCCTGATCTTAGACCGAGCCGCGGGGGCGTTGACCCCTGAAACCCTCTCCAGGCAGACTCCAGGTAATAATAAAATCATACAGGTCCACAGATGAGTAAGACACCACTGTGCATGGCACCTTGTTTCAAAGACTTTCACAGACTGCAGCAGTTCTAGGAACATGTCCAGTAACTGTGCATATGTAAATATATAATAGAACATTGCTAATGTACAATATTTTCTGCACGTTTTTTCTTGTAAACAATTATTATAAACAATATAATTATGAAAATATTAGTGTGGTTATTGTGTTGAATACAGCGTGTGTACATGTATACATTATGCATTATATTGGTCTCACAGGCCACAAACGTTACTGGAAAAAACAAAATTAGAAAGAAAAGAATAAAGTAACGAAAAAAGTAAAATAAAAATAATGCGACTTTATGGAAGTCGCCGATGTTGCTGCCACCAGGTCATTGAGGGTCAATTTCATGCCTCTATATCTTGGAAAGTACTGATCGGAAATTTTTTGTTTATTTTTTATCACCTCTAGAAAAATATTGTCTTTACTTCTGTAAGAATTTTTTTTTTTTTCAAAAATTCTTGGAACCTAACTGTCACTTTGAGATTTGGCCTCTGGACCCTCGAAGGGTTAATGCTGAAATCATTGTTTAATATTTAAAATAATTACACTGGTCTGCATGATTTTTTTATTGACTCTATGGTATCTTTCTAGGTATATATATATGGAAAATAGTGATTCATTGTGTTTTTTATTCATCTCTATCACATCAAGTTGTCAAGTTATACGAAAACGTTAGTTTTCTCTTTTCGTATAACATAAGCAAATGAGAAAGTGATATATGTATTACCAATTTAAATGCTTACCTTATATTGACTTAAATGTTAAATCTAATATATTTTTCTTTATTTTTGGATTATTAATATGTCTATAGGCAGCATAAATTCATCAGACATATTTTGCTACATCTGCGGGCAATTCATGCTTTTCAGATTCCTGGAGCAACATTACTCCTTTATTGAAGCGCTGCTAATTTGCTTATTTTGGCTGCAAACTTGGAGACCAGGACAAACCATTTGCACCACACAAAGCTTGCAAGAGTTTCATCATTAAGCTCCAAATGTGGTCAGTTAGAGCGCATAATGTACCCAAATATTCCTTCAGCAATAAGGCCAGTTCCACACTGAAGATATTCCTGTACCTGTGCCACCTGAGACATGGCAAATTTCATCAGAGTCTGATACCAGTGATTCTAGGAGATGGAAGTAGACGATGAACGACCAACAAATGACGATCCCAAACACTTCAATCAAGTTGTGCTCAATGACTTGGTGAGAGACTTAGTTACTTAGTTACTTAGCTCTAGGCTGAAGGAACACAGGCTTCTAGCTCCTGGAACAACATTCACTTGTTCCGTCATCGTGAACGGAATTCACTCAGCTCTTTGACAAGATGAATCTTTAATTTTCTGTTCTAATATTTCTGGCCTATTGAACACACGGGGATGTCATACAAAGCAGATGAATGGGGACTTTCATTCATTCCTCTAAAAGAGTTTAATGGCAACACAGCTGCCTCTGTGCCAATTGGCCATAGTGTCCAAATGTCAGAAACTTACGCAAATATGAAGACGATAATATCTGCAGTCAAGTACCAGAATCACAATTTTCTCCTTTGTGGTTATTTAAAAGTTATTGTTCTCCTACTAGGTCTTCAAGGCAGACACACCAAGTATCCCTGTTTTCTGTGTCTTTTGGTAGTAGGGCAACAGCCAACACTATGAAACAAAAGACTGACCAACAAGAGCCAGCTTCATACCTGGAAATCACAACTTCAAAACTGTGCCACTAGTTGAACCCAAGAAAATTCTGCTGCCACCACTCCACATCAAATTAGGGCTTATGAAAAATTTTGTTAAGGCCTTGAACAAGAATGGAACTGCTTTAAGTACCTGAAGTCAAAGTTTCCTCGTATAAATAAAGGCAAGATAAAGGCAGGAATCTTTGTTAGCCCTCAGATTCGGGAACTGACGAATGACTAGCATTTTGATGAAGCATTAGCAGGTGTCGAGGTGTATGCCTGGTTTTCATTCAGGCAGATTGTCCACAACTTCCTGGGAAACAGGCGCTCCCCCAGATATGAAAGAATGATCCAAGACGTGATTTCAAGTTTCCAACAACTTGGGTCTAGAATGAGTGAAGATTCACTTTTTGCACTCAAATCTTGACTACTTTCCCAACAATTGTGGGGACTACAGTGAGGAACAAGGAGAGCGGTTCCATCAGGATATTTGCACCATGGAATGTCAGCATGATGGCGGATTACTGCTGGTCATTGAAACTTAATGATCTCGATGCACAGCACAAGCAAAAATTAAAGCAGTCCTCCTTCTTTATTTAAATATGTAGGCTAACCATTAGGAGAACCTTTTTTTTTAATAAAATTATTTGATTTGATTCATGTTGATTTGGAATTCATATGTTCTTAAAACTAACAGAATGGGCTTTTCCATGATTACTTGCCTAATTTTAATAAATTAACAATTTATTAAAAATTTTACATTACAGGTCCACATCCCTTTATCCGAAATTCTGAAATTTGATAAGTTCTGAAAACCGAACTTTTTTTCGTGGAGTGTGGAGCGACAGTCATCTGGGTCACGCCACCACGTGGCGGCATTGAGAATCATTCTGAAATTCGAAAAAGACTGAAATTCGAAACAATACGAGCCCCAAGGGTTTTGGATAAAGGAATGTGCACCTGTAATTTGTATTTTATTCGAAATCCTCATGTGATAGAGCAAAATGGTTTAGATATTTGCAATCAGCAGCCCAGGAATATGTAAGATCGCAACCATGAATAAAAATAAAAATTAAAATAATTCCAAATGCAGACCAGTGTTATCAAACATTATGCTTTGTATTTTGAATTTAAATGTAAGTATGTGAACAATGCACAGTCAATTACAGTTAGTTATTTATAATCTAAAAGTTCAGTTACATATTATTATTTTTTTTATTAATTACATTTAGCTTAAATTATAATTACTCAAGAGCTGGTTATCATAAGGGTGCAGTCATAAATTTGCAATGCAGTATTTTTTCATCCTTATATATTATAGTTCTTGAATATGACAAAAAAACATTTGTTACACAGTGTATTTGTTGCTGTACCATAATTAAAATAGATGGATTTCTTTACATACTGCAAATTCAAATTATTTGGCATAAAAAATAATAATTATATTATAGTTGATCTCTTTTGCTTGATATTTGGATTTATATGACATAGAAATTGCAACTGAGGATACGACAGATTTTTATTGTCGGGGGTAAGAGTGAAAACGTTGCTGATGTGACTTGATACTTTTGAAATCGTAATATTGTACACATGTTTTAAAATAGTAAAGTTAACACTCTAATCTCACAATTGTGAGAATTACTACCACACACACAACGTATTTGGAGGAGGGTGTTTTGGGGGTCAATGCCTCCATGGCCCTGTCCATGTCCAGCTTCCAGAGTTTATTTTATAGCATAGGATAATGGTGTAAAAGTTGTCAGAGGAATTGAAGGGATGAACTAAAGTTCCTGAATTGAATGTCAGCTAATGAGACCTAATGCAAAAAGTAGTACAGGTCGGCCATCACTAATCCGGCAATCAGTAATCTGGTTCCATCAGTAATCTGGCACTAATTTCGACTAGCATAATTTCAAATTTCCGGGGTCGTCACACCAACCTGCCACTAATGTTTGGTGGCACTACTTGCTGCATAAGTCATTCCAATTTCTTTTATTCCATTTGTTGTGATAACCTGCTCAGTTTAAGCCCTAGCCATGGTTCCAACAAATAAAAAAAATGTTTTTCATTGTGTAAAGCACATACACCGTACATTGTCCATGAAAGATAAGGTGGCTTTGAAGCCACTGTTGGTTGCCATGAGCTCAGCTTACCCAGATAAGCTGTGACCAGTAAATTTGGGCTTATATTTGAGAGAATAGGTCTGTGTGATAAGTGTGCACTATATAAAAAAAAAATCCTGTAGCATGCAGTGAATAATGAGAAAAAACTGAGACCATGCTTTTGGTGTAAAACAGCGACTTTGCGGTGTATTTTTCTATGGATTTTGTAGTGTATTCTCTTTTTTTTTGTCTCATTTGATAGAATGGAAGATGTACATATGATTTTGATTGGTTTCACAATAGAAACCATCTTGAAACTGAGCTTAAATTAGCAGAAATGTTCAATTTTTGCCAATGCTCAAGAGTAAACAAATGATGCCACTGTCCAATACGTGTCCAACTGACCAGTCTATTATGCAGTTACTAATGGGTTGACATTATTTGTATAATTACAGTTGAATCCCGATTTTCGTACGCTCCAATTATCGGGCGTTTTGGTTTTCAGACCGTTTTTTGTGCGAAATTTTGCTCCAGATATCGGATTTTGCTCCGGTTATCAGACTTATGATACGCATCTGCCTGCCTGACCACCCAGGGGACCCCGCCACTACACCTCTCAGTTTGCCTCTGTTACTGGTCAAGTGAGCATTACTTCATGCATTCCAAACCATTTGGTAATAATTCCTTGTTTCTGGTACTTGTTTTTTAATTGTGACTGCTAAATAAGCCAGCATAGGCCCAATGAAGCTTTCTAGTGCCAGCCCTTTGATAAAGAAGGAGAGAAGCACGATAGAAATAAAGAAAGAGATCGTAGAAAAATACGAAAGTGGCGTACGTTTAGCCGAGCTTGCCAGTCGAAATCAACAATCTTCTCCATCCTGACAAAGAAAGTAGAAATGAAGGAAGTTAAAGTTGCGAAAGGGGTGAATGTGCTAACTGAACAGGGATCACAAACAGTGGAAGATATGAAGATGTTGTTGGTGTAGAGTCGATCATTTGTGAAAAAGCAAGGCAGTTACATGCAGATCTCCTAAAGAAAATGTCTGGAACGAGTGCTGCTGTTAGTGAATTTAAGGCCAACAGAGGCTCGTCGCAGATTCAAGAGTATTAGTGGTATACACAGTGTTGTAAGGTATGGTGGAGGCTGCAAGTTCAGACAAACTTGCAGCTGAAAATTCGTGATGAATTTCAAGGGGTAGTAGAGGCTGAGAATTCATCCCCAACAAGTGTTTAATTGTGACGAAACAGGCTCTTTGGGAAGAAAACGCCAAAGAGGGACCTACATCACGCCGAAGGAAAAGGCACTTCCAGGACACAAGATATGAAAGTCAGGACTAACTCTTTGATAGTGGAGATTTCAAATGTGAAGCCTATAGTGGTGTATTCAGTCTGAAAATCCCAGAGGTTCAAGAAAACAATGTCTTCACGAGTAAATTTGTGTGTGTGTGGAAAGCTAATAATAGGCATGAGTAAAATTTTCAAAGAGTAGGTCCATGATGTGCTTTGGCCCGAGTGTGAAAAAATACCTCCAGGGAAAGAAAATGCCACTCAAGTGACTCGGGTAATGGACAATTTGCCTTGTCATTCTCCAGGACCTGGAATGGACCAATTGTCTATTGATTTCAGTTTTATAACAGTGAAGTTCCTGCCCCCTAATACCACTCCTCTCATCAAGCCATGGTCAGAGGTATTTCAAACTTCAAAATACTGTCCACCAAAGCAATGTTTCAAAAAGTGCTTTGAGTGACCTCGGACACTGAACTGACCCTAAGAGAGTTCTGAGGGATCACTTCAATATCCTCAAAGATAAGCATTATAGGTAAGGCTTGGAAGGAAGTGACTTCCGGAACTTTGAACTCTGCTTAGAGATAAATCGTGGCCAGGACTGTGTACTCGAAAAGGAATTTGAAGGGTTTGAGGTGACCCGTCGACCCTCGCCTGTTGTGGATAAGAGTGACAGGTGTGGAAGAAGTTGGTGGAGGACCACTGAAGAGCTAACCACTTAAAGAGCTGCAAAACTTCAACTCGAACAGCAACAGACTGAGCTGAGGAACTTGCTCAGAGGAGGAGGAAAAGAGAGGGAAGGGGTGCCTTCTTCAGAGATTACAGAGATTTGTGCAAATGTGGAATAGGGTGCAGCTTTTTGTGAGAAATATCACCTGACCAACGCTGTAACAAGCCCATTATGTACAGTGACAGAAACCTTGTCCCACTTCTGACAAAAATGTAAAGAGGGTCAGAAACAGACCTCTTGGACAGACATGTGTGGAGACGGGTTTTGCAGTGACTCTCAGAGGTCCTAGTGGCATTAAAAGACAAAGAAGGGACTAAACCCCAGGCGATTCCCTTCCAAACCATAACCCAACTCCCTTACCCTCTTCCTGTCTTCCTAAGCCAACAAGAGTCTGCAATGTTTATATTCGTCTTTCATTGTTTTGTGTATGTAGGCTATATTTATTCTTTAAAAAAAAATATTTTTTTGTGGAATTTTTTTGGGGTCTGGAACGGATTATTGCATTTACATTATATATTATGGGGAAACATAGATTCAGTTTTCTCACGTTTCGGTCTAAAGCCCACTTTCTTGAATGGCGGAAGTTCGAAAATCGGGGTTCCACCGTATTACATAATGCAGTAGTCTAACATAACATCGTTAATCTTCTATTTTTTTGTGGTGAAATCTAAAATTCCAAAATAGAAGCAAGATATAGAAGTGGGGCCTGGAGATGTGCTAATGACAGAGCAAATGTTATTTTAGTGCAGGAATGCGCATTGCATATTCTGGATTATTTTGAAAATTGGCATCTCTTGAAACTTTGTGTGAAAATGGCCAAATTACCCATTTCTGACCACCTTATTTTCGGTAGTTGAAATAGGTGAAAGTTTTTTTTTCACTCAATCGACAGCGTAGAGGATATTAGCAAAATAGCTATGAGTTTGGTAGACTAGAAACACTGGAATGGACCAAACTAGGGTATAAAAGTGGGAGAGATTGCCGATGTTGCTAAATAATCACCATTCGGTTAAGTGTATCTCTAACCTAAACACTCTCGTAAGCTGGCAAACAATCACTTATCCGGCACCCTACAGGTTCAGATGATGGCGGATTAATGACTGGTCAACTGACCTATAGACTACTCGACACATAAAATGATATGCCCTTGTAGTCTTAAGTTAGGCTTAAGTTGCCTGAATGCTCTGCATAACTGGCTTTACAACATGCTCTCAATTGTCACCCATTTTGTATCAACAGTGTATTCAATGTTGAAATTACACTCGTATTTAAAGTCACATTTTCACGAACTGTCTAACAGCATTAAGAGAGAACATATTGTGTACTTGTTCTACCCATTTATAAAAACCTGATAACTGGAATTAAATCCTGTGGTAGTAGGTTTGGTAGACAGCACACCAGGGTAGGTTTTACTACCATCCTGTGGTAGTAGGTTGGTAGACAGCAAACCACCCCCAGAAGCCTGTAATTGTTTTACATGATGATAGGATTGCTGGTGTCTTTTTTCTTTCCTGCTCGTAAGCACATGCAATACCAGATATATCTTGCTACTTTCTTTTTGCACTTAGGTCACCTACACATGCATGTATACACAAATATATGTACACCTCCTCTGAGTTTTCTTATTATTGTACTTTTTTATTAACACATCGGGCGTCTCCTAAAGAGGTTGGCCAAACCAAGAAAAAACTTTCATCATTATTCACTCCAGTATCTGTCTTGCCAGAGGCATGTTTACACTACAGTTATAAAACTGCAACATTAACCACCCCTTCTGCACAGGGCACAGAAACTGTATTCCCATTTCAGGACTCAAGTCCAGCCTACGGTTTCCTGAATTTCCCTTCATAAATTTTACTCTTGATCTTCAACAGCAACTTTAAGTCTAAAAAATTTTAATTTATTAAAAAATTTTTCACCAATTGCCCTATTAGATTGCTCATGCATGCTTGCTGGAAATCCAAGCCCCTCGCACACAAAACCTCCTTTATCCCCTACGTATTACCTTTCCTAAGCCGTCCCCTTCCCTGCCTTCCCTCCACTGAGTTTTCTTACACTCTCGAAGTCATTCCATTTCCTCTGTTCCCTCTCTCTATGTTCAAACCCCTTACATCCTTCTCTGCCCTCTGGATTAATAGTTTCGACAATCCCGCTCCTCTCCTAATTTCCAAACTACTATAAAGAATTCTCTGTATTATATTTACACCACACATTGCTCTCAAATTGACATCACCACTGCCTCTGTCCTTCTCCTTGTAGGGAACCGTCACTACCCATGATTCACCCCTTATAAGAGTGTTGGTATAACTATACTCTCATACATCCCCTCTTTACTTCCATGGACAAAGTTCTTTGTCTCCACAGATCTACGTGCACACTCACCTTTTTCCCTCTTCAAATTCTATGATTCACCTCATCTTTTCATAGGCCCCATCTGCTGACATTCCACTCCTAAATATCTGAATACATTCGCTTCCTAGATACTCTCTCCCTCCAATTCTGATATTCAGTCTTTCGTCACCCAATTTTTTTTTTATCCTTAATCACCTTAATTTTTCCTATACTCCACTTTTAATTTTCTTCATTTACATCCCTACCAAACTCATACCCCAACCTCTGTAACTTCTCATCAGAATCTCGTAATAGCACAGTGTCATCAGCAAGACGCAACCTGTGCAACTCCCACTTTGTGTTAGTTTATCTTTTAAACACCACACCTGTCGACACCCGAGCATACACGTCTCTTACAAACCCCCCTATAAAATTATTGAAAAAACCATGGTGACCATCACACAATTCCTTGTTAGGGCTTCTTTTACTGGGAAATAATCTTCCCTCACTCCTTCCATATTTCTAACCTGAGCTCATTATCCTTGTAAAAAACTCTTCACTGCTTTCAGTAAACCTCCTTCCTATTCCATACATTTGCAACATCTGCCACATTGCTTCCCTGTTCACCCTGTCATACAACTTTTTCAAATCCATAATTCCACAAAACTTCTTTAGCTTATCTAAATGCTGTTCACCTATATATTTCACTGTAAACACCTGGTCTACGCACCCCTTACCTTTCGTAAAGCCTCCTTGTTCATCTGCTATCCTATTCTCCATTTTACTCTCAATTTTTTCAATAATAATTCTACCCTACACTTTACTAGGTATACTCAACAAACTTATTCCCCTATAATTTTTGCACTCTCTTTTGTCCCCTTTGCCTTTACACAAACTATGCATGCTCTTTGCCAATCCCTAATTACCTTGCCCTCTTCAATACATATATTAACCCTTTCATTGTTGGTGCCGTATAGGTACAGCTTACGAGCCAGTGTTGGTGACGTATGAATACCCAAAATTCTAGCAGTGTGAAGGCTTACTCAGCCCTGTAACAACTTCAGTCAGTACTACTAAGGTTGGCTCCTCCTCAGGAAAATTAATGAATAGAAAAAGAACAAAAAATGACAAATATAAACACTTTATTATTTAGGAAATATGAAATATAAAACACTTAAATATGAAATACTGATCCTACATGAAAGAAAATTAAAAATTAAAAATATAAATGATATCTGAATTTAATGCTAAAAACTTGGGTGTTGGTGTTGGTGACACTGTGTGTTGTTGCAATAG